AAACAAGTTTAGAACAGGTGGGATTTTGTTTTAAAAAGGAGGAGGAAACGCAAATAGCAGGGACCTGCAGAGCTGGAAGTGCGGGGAACTGAGCGATCACCACAGCAGATACACACAGTGGGACTGCGCGGGCCGAGCGGTTAAGCCGCAGTGACGGCTGGGATAAGTGGTGAAGCCACCGCTCCATGGGGACCGAGCGCGGTCGCAACTAAACCCCGGTACAAGCGGTCTTCAGGGCTAGTTGGGCGACAGGGGGAGGGAGACACACAACCCCAGGCCACGAGACTCAGTATAGTAAACAGGTTTATTCGGGGAGAAATCGCTTACACGCGATGCAGATGACCGCTGCAAGTCCCTGCTCCAAGGATCAACACCGGCTGCCCTCCGACCGAAAGCAAGAGAGAGCGAGCCTGTCCTGGACCCCAGACCAAATATCACACGCTCTCGAATGCACCTGCGACCACTTGGGCGTGGTCAGCGCCACAGATGAGGCTGAGTGGACCTCTCCTACAAAGGCCTGGTGGGTTGATACCAAGGCCCCATGGGCTTTTCCTAAATTGGAGAAAGGTGACCCCCATTGCAGCCTACCAAATCCCCTTAACAACCTGTGGTCCTCCAGGAGGAGTCCCCCATCTGAAAGGTTCAGGCATTATGCTGGCCTGCCCCTGTTACCTGGTGGAACAGGCAGTACCCTGGTCAGCCCAAGGTTCCATGGGAACTGAGTCTGCACGCAGGTGCAGAGGACCCCCCTTTAAAAAGACAGATCCTTGCCCATTTACTCTCTCTGCTTCCTCGCTGCTTCCTCTCTACTCTCTCTCTCTCACCTATGCTGTCTCTCTGCCTCTCTATGGCGACCGGCCATGAGGTCAGCCATTTACCCTGTTCTCCTCTTCTTAGTCTCCCTACTCTGCCGGGCCTTATAATAAACTTATAGTCAGCATGTCTCATGTTTCAGCATTTCTCTTTTCTTCTTTTTAAACAAAAGAACACCATCCGCTTTGGGGGGGGGGGATCCTCTGTGTGTGCCTTGCCATGTGCGTGTTTGCCAGGCATGGTGCTGCACACCTTTAATGCCAGCACTGCAGAGGCAGAGGCAGCCTGTGCAGAGGCAGCCTGTGCTACACAGCGAGACCCGTCACTTTAAAAAAAAAAAAAAGGAGTGTTTTTGGTCTGTCAATTCTGCCTGCACTGTTGGAGTTTTCCCTGCTATTAACTGTTTTGTGATTGAGGGTTTTTTGTTTTTGTTTGTTTGTTTGTTTTTTCCTGTCTTTTAATTCTTTAAGGGTCAGGTACTCACGGAGGGTGTCATGAGGCAGCGCTGAGCAGGGGCTGGCATGCAAGGCCTTACTGGGAAGCTGGAGTGAAAGGCCTCCCTACCTGGCCTTGGCCTTCTTCGGGGCGTCAGTCTTCCACTTGGCCTGTTTTTCCATCAGGCTTCAGCTCCCCCTTTTCATTGGTCAGTGTGCTCCGAACACCCAGGCAACTTCAAGGAGGTTGGGCTTGGTGAGCGGTGAGCGCAATACCCAACAATGGCCTCAGGGGGTCAGCAACAATCCACCTTTCCCAGAAGCCGCCTAGCAGCACACCAGCTGGCTACCCAAGGAGTTCCAGGGCGCAGGGTTCAGTCCACAGGTCACCCTGAGCTCCTCATCTTCTTCCAGTGTGACTGATGCCCATTGGACCTGATCCTGTGGCCAACTTGCGCCCTGTCCAGATGATATCACACCGGAAAGAGCAGAGGATGGCGCAACCAAACCACCTAGCTTCAGGGATGAGGTCGGCAGAAGATGAGGGCACAGGAGGACCGCCGGCCAGGCACACCCCTCACACTGAATCGCCAAGGAAGTGCCAAGCTAGAATCTCCAGAATTATCCCTCTCAGAAACGTGGCGCTCAAAGAGGCAAGCTCTTGGGCAACACCATCTGGGCCACTGCATGGAGAACCATGTGTGTGTGGGGGGGGGGACCAGGGTGTGAGGTCACAGATCTTTCCTGAAATTAGATGACATAGGTAGGACAGGAAGGGAACCAGCATACACTAAGGCTTCTGGATGTGTCCCAGGATCTCGGGTTACACCAGGGTCACCAGGTGTCCTTGTCACACTCAGCCCTGAGTTCTGCACAGTGAGCCAGGCAGAGAAAGAGCCACAGTAAGATCTGGCTGTATTGACAGGTAAGAGAGAAAAGCTCATCATTGCCCCCTCCTCTGAGTCTGCTGTGATGACCCTGTTTTGAGGTGTCTTGGGAATGTCAAACCATGAGTTCAGTGTTGCATGAAGAAAAACTGAAATGCCAGGTGCAGTGGTGCCTGTCTCTAAGGAAGCCCTGCTCTCAGGAACCCGAGGCAGCCTAGGGACTGGTGGACTCATATACCAGGCAGAGGCTCCTGCTCTTGGATGGAGGCTGGGCACTGCGAGCCTCTGCCCTGCCCACACTGCCCTGTGCTCTCTGCCCCCACCTCAGGCTGCCCCTGGCTATGCTCCCTCCCCTCTTGGCCCTTGCACTCATGGTGACTCTTGCCTGCTCTACCCCGCTCTTCCCCTTTATCTGTTAACTCTGCTTATCCTTGGGGGCTCAAATTTGGTGCCACTTTGGAGGGCAATGGTGCAGCCCCATCTTTTCCCACACGGGGAGCCTGGTTCATAAAGTCCCGGGGGGGGGGTGCGCTGTTGCAGCATCATCCCTGAGGATACTACATGGACTTGGGAGTGTTTTCCTGAGCTTAGGAGAATCAAGGCGAGACCTGCGTGGCTGGCAGAATTCCCAACCCTCAGAGTTCTCTGTAAAACGGGGTGGTGGTGGATAGACCACACCATGGAGGTTGTTCTGGGAGATCCTAGCTAGGGCTGCCCTGAAGTAGCCAGCTGCAAAGAATGCAGAGGGCGGGGCCTTCCTTCAGCAAACAGGTTCCCGCAGGCCCAGGCTGTCCCAGAAGGCTTCCTGGAGGAGGCGGAGGAGCCCAGAGAGAGGCGCACAAAGCAAGCGGGCGTGGAAGCGGGAGGGAGAGCAGACGGTACCCAAGGGCGGACTCCGGCCCGAAACACCAGACGGGTCACGTGGACGCAGGCGGGCCCTGGTAGAGCGGTGACGCAGCTGGCGCAGCCAGGTGAGGCGGCCCCGGTGCAGCAGGTGCCCAGGGTGCGCCCCGCCCTCCGGCCGCGCAGCCGCCGGCGGAGCCCACCTGGCCCGGGCTCCGCCCGTCCGCACTCCCTCCCGCCCGCCGGCCGTGCAGGAAGTAGGGAGGGCGGGACCGATCGGCCGCAGGACGAGGGACCCGGCGGCACTGCAGGCTGTACCCGCACCACCGCTCCTCGGCGGTGCGCACAGGTGAGTCTGGGGACTGAAGAGTCAGCCGAGGGTTAGGCCACCTGCGTCTCCCGGAGAGCCCCTGCGCCTTTCCAGCCCCACCCGACCTCGGCGACAGCGTCGCGCCCGCCCCGCCCTCTCGCTGGAGCTGCAAGCCCGGGACTAGGAGCCTCGCTGCCCCGAGCCGCGCAGTCCAAGGGACACTTTGCTGAGAACCCGGTTAGACACTAGGGATCAGAGACTCCTGGGAAGTCCCGGGGGTGTGAAAGTGACTCTCCCGGGAGCTAGAAAGACGGTCTGTTCAGGTGGGCTCCAAGATTGACGGGCCTGACCCACTCGTGCACTTTTTCTACCTTGATGGCCTTGGTGGCTAGCCGTCTAGCTGGGTTCCACAGTGCCTTCCAGCGGGAGGGGGCTGCTCCGGAAATCTGCTGGAGCCACTTTCAGGGCAACAGTCCCCAACCCCCTGCCTTGATCCCCGTATCTATAAATCAGGAGTAGGGATCCACTTTGAGGTTGAGCGAGAAAGACGAACCTGGGTAAGGGCCTCAGGAGCAGGGGGCTGAGTTGGTGGCAGCCACGGTGAGATCCTCCACATCACACCTGGAGCCCAGACAGGAGCTGATAGTCCCTAAGTGGATGCTTGGGTGTGTTCGTCACTGGAGTGACCAACCTCAAGGTACCATGTGTGGGTCCATTCGTGACTGTATGCTCGTATGCCCTGATACCCCTGGCTTTCTTCCCTGGTGTGTGGGCAGCAGGCTTGAAAGTTGCCAAGTGTGAATTCAGGCAAGTTGCTTGAGCCTCCTGGCCTCGGTTTATCTCTCAGAGTGTCTTGATTCAGTAGGCTGCTGCTGTGTCCCTGTTCCGGGGATAAATGCTTCTGTCATCAGCCCATGTTCTCAGGACGCTCATCATCCAGAGAGAAACCTTTTTACAGTACTGCCTGTTGGAGGGAGGAGTCTCCAGGCATCCTTGAAAAATAAGGACTAAGTCACACTGAGAACAAGATGGAGATGGCTAGAGGCCCTTTGCCACTCCCTTCTCCAAGCACCCCAAACCAGAAACTACTCTTTTCAAAGATTTATTTATTTTATATGTTTAAGTGTTTTGCCTGAATTTATGCATGCACACCACAGGTGTGCCTGGTGCTCATGGAAGTTAGAAGAGAGCATCGGATCCCCTGGGATCAGAGTTACAGACAGTCGTGAGCTACCATGTGGGTGCTGGGACTTGAACCCTGTTCTCTGGAAGAGCAGCCACCGCTGATCTCTGTTGGACTTTTGGGGAGGTTGTCCTAGTGTCCCACCTCCTGCAGGTCAGTCACTCTCACCTGCGTGTGAGGAAGCATGCTGAGTGCGGAGGTGGAGTAGCTGGTTAAGATTCCCAAGGCTTGTTCGTGGAGACAACAGGTCTGTTCCCCGGAAGGTGACGGTTGCATTTCTGTTTGGCCACAGGGCCTGGAGGTTTTGGTTTTGGTCTCTAGATCCATCTAGGCATTGCCTGTGCTCACTCTGTGAAATAATATGTAGGTGGCTGTCCCTCTGTAGCATCGAGAGTCCAGAATCCCGCGCCGTCTGCATCCAGTTCCTGGTTTGAGGACAGCCATCTAGGTCAGGATGGGGCCTCGGAACTTGGCTCCTCCCCCTTGTACTCTCACTGGCTGGGGCTTGACCCAGGCAGGTCACATTCCCTCTGTCCCTGCCTCTCACTGCCAGAAGGGAAAATACACAGCGGCCAGGAGTTTGGGAAGGAGGCTGAAGACTTAGCAGCCAGGATACCATCTGTGGCCCTGTTTCCTGGGCAGGGGAGGCCTGGCCCCAGGTTCCATCAGGTCTGGACTCTTCTTCCCCTACCCAAGCTCCTTAAGGGACCCCGGTGGTTACACTTGGGCTTATGGAATGTGAAAGGGGAGTCGGGGGTGACAGGCAGATGTTGTGGGCTGACTGGGTGCACCAGGCGAGTGAAGGGTGACTCTAGCTAGCTATGATTGGTTTTCCCCACCTCAGCTTTGGAGTCATTTGTTCCAGTTGGTTGCTTTGTGCTCCCACCATGCCGGCCTCATCACACCGAAGGCCGGTGGTTATGACCAACAATGTCTTCAGACGTTACAAATTGTCTCCAGGTGGACAAAACTGCTCTCAGCTGAGATCCTCCTGAGCTCAGCCCTGCTACCTGACAAGTGTAACTAGCTGGTTACAAAGCTGAATCCTGCTGCAAATTATATTGGACTCCAAGTCCCCAGCTCAGATAGGAAGGGTTGCCCAGGCACAAGGCCACTATTGAGGGCTGGCTGAGTCTGCTGCTAAAGGGGCCGAGCCTCACCAGGTGCAGATAGCCCAGCTTCAGAGCTGGTGATGGAGGGTCTCCAGCAGGGCAGAGAAGCTCAGGCTCTGGGAGGTTTGGGTTCCTATGACCAGCTGTGACCAGCTGCAACAGGCTCAGACTAGGAAGAGATCAGGCTTAGAGGACTAGCGGGTAGCACAGGTACCCACAGGGTTCATGAAAAGCTGACCCTCCTTGAAGGGTGTGAGAGCAGAGGACCAGGTGCAGAGAGGCCCATCCATTCAGGACCACACCCAGAGTGGCCCCCTGAGATATCTTGTCAAGATCTCACTGTCAAGATCAAACTCGATGGCTACATGATGTCCTGCCCTGTGGTTCTGCTAACTCCTGTGCAAAGAGAATGTGGGTGGGCTGTAGGTTCTAAGGCCTCAGTCATGGGGCCATTTCCAGCCCACCCTAAAGCAGAAACAGCTAGAAGTCACCTTCACTGTTGCATCTGGCTCTGCTGAGTGGCTCTGGCCCAGTTTCTGCTGCTTTTAATCAGAACCGCTGGGCAACTTGGTTCTCCTAGAACACAAGAGCCTCCTCAGGGAGACACAAGGTGGGCCCAGGACAGGAAAAGTGCCAGCATCCATTTGGGAATTGAGCTGCGTTTGTGGGGGCATGTAAAAGAAGTTGTCCCTGAATCCCAAAGACTTTCAGGGATACATGGCCAGGCATCCAGATAGTGCTCCTGTAGAAGGTGTCTGGAGTTGCTTCCATGCTTTCGGTGAACCTGGAGGCCTGAAATAGGGAGAAGACACTTCATTGGCCCATATGGGGTCTGGGAGGCCTCACACCTGACTCTCAAATACTGCTGGTGGATGGCCATGCCTGGTTATTTCCCTGGAGGCCACTAGGAGGACAATCTGAGGTCCCTGCACTGACAGTTTCTTGGTGAACCAAGAGCCAGCTAGCTGGGAAGGAAGGCTGCCCCCTAGGGACATAGGCTTTGAGTCTACAGCCCCCAGGGACAGAGCCTGTGTGCTCTTGGGCCCCATCGGCCTCCCATCACTAGCAGAAACCAAAGCAGCTTTTTATTTTGAAAGTTTCATGTCTGAGAGACCAAGGTCCAGGGGAGACAAGACTAAACAAGAAAGTGAGTAGCCAGCAGCAGCCAACAGAAACATGTAAAAGAAAACTCTATTCTTGCCCTCTAAGTCAATGGAAGATGTTGTCTTAGAGACATAAGAACAGGATGCAAGGAATGAAGAGCAATGGGGCAGGCTGGGGGGGGGGTGTGCACAAGAGAGCTCTTGGCAGGGGACACAGAAATGACAGGAGGGTGGCGGAAGTCAGAAGGCTGAATGGAGTGGAGGCGTCTTCAAAAGAAGGTCAAAGAAATGAGAAAAGGAGGAATGGTAAGAAATTAGGGGGGAATTTCAGAGGTTCAATCTTTTTTTGTTGGACAGGTTATTCTGTGCAGCAGTCCTGGCTGTCCTGGAACTCGCTCTGTAGACCAGGCTGGCCTTGAACTCACAGAGATCCGCCTGTCTTTGTCTCCAAGTGCTGCAATTAAAGGCGTGTGCCACCACCGCCTGGTTCAGAGGTTTCAATCTTGATTAGTGAGTGTTCCAGAAAGATAAAATGGTGCAAGAAATTATCTTTAAAAAAATAGACAGGCCCAGTGCCCCAGGCCTGCCTGGGATCCCAGCCACCAGAAGCTCAAGCAGGAGGACAACAAATTCAAAGCCTGCCTGGGCTGCAGAGCAAGTTCAAGGCCAAGCTGGCCCATCTAGTAAGACCCTTCCTCAAATAATAATAAATTGTAAAGCAAGGGGCTGGGATATAGCTCGGTGGTTGTAGCAGTGGCATAGGGTGAGGTCCCAGGATTGTCTCCTGACAGGAATGGGGAGTGGGGAGGAAATGATCCAGGAAATAATATTACACCACATGCAGATGCAGGTCTGAGACACAGGGACAAGCAGGCTAGAAAGTCTACCTGACACCTCAATTAGTAAGTGAATGTGGGGCTCGAGCCCTCTGCAGGGCTGAGTAGGGAGGAGTATGGGACACCAAATGAGGAAGAGAAGTCTGAGGCACCAAGAACAGCAGTGAGAACACAAGAGGGTGAGTCCAGATTCCAGAGGAAAATTATCCCCAGTGGGAGAGAGGAGGAGAGAAAGATGTGTCCTGGCAGTCAGAAATGTACCCCTGCCAGCTTGGTGGCATGCACCTTTAATCCCAGCACTCAGGAGGCAGAGGCAGGCAGATCTCTTGAATTCCAGGCCAGCCTGGTCTATGTATTGAGTTCCAGGCCAGCCAGGGCTACATAGTAAAACCTTAGAGGGGTGGGGGGGTGGGGGGGGCAGCAGGAGGATAGATCTGGGGCTGGAGAGATGGCTCAGGGGTTAAGAGCACTTGTTGCTCTTGGCAGAGGACCTGGGTTTGGTTCCCAGCACCAACATGGTAGCTTACAACTGTCTTTAACTCCAGTTCCAAGGGATTTGACTCCCTCTTCTGACCTATGAGGGCACAGGGCATGCATGTGATATACATACATACATACATACATACATACATACATACATACATACATACATACATACATACATACTACATACATACATACACACAAACACTCATTCACCTAAAATAAGTAAAAAAATGTTTACAGACATTAAAAATCTGTCCCCAACTCCTTCCAAAGACAATGCCTGGCGTTTGCTTTAGGGAGAGCCCTAATAACCTGAGGATAACCTGAGCCAAGCCTAAGGACCACCCACCTACCCAGCCCCCACCCTGAGCTAGGAGGGTGCCTGAGAAGTCCTGGAAGTGGCCCCTGCAAAGGGCCAGACTCAAGGAGCATAGAAAAGCAAAACTGGACAGCTGGGGGAAAATTTAACTGGAGAGCTGGCTGCCGAGGGAGTGGAAATGATTAACAAGAGGCTAGCCAGCCTCATGGTCCCCTGCCTATGAAGCCCTGCAGCTTCAGGAGATAATGTGTCCAGCAGGCATTTCAGTGCTACCTGACAGGACAGGTACCTATAGCCCTCAGCCCTACTCTCGGGGTGCCAGTCAGTTTGTTTGCTAGGCCTGTGGGTGTGGTGCCAGTCTGGGAATGAAAACCACTCCCAGCAATGGCTCACCTGACAGATTCCCTTTGGGCAACTTCTGGCCCTGGAATGGACTTTGCCCTCTGCTGGGAGAGGCCACCACCTGCCAGGGGCTATGCTGTCCCTCAAGCCTGAGATGCTAGCTCAGGAGTGATGAGTGTTTACTGGTAGGAGAGGAGGTAAACTAGTGGCCCTGGGCCCTTCTGTGTGGTCTGCTCTTTCTGAGTGAAATGATCATTGTGTAAAAGAATTGCAGGTGAAGTCTGTCCTGGGCCATCAGAAGACCTTGGTGAACTGGACAAGTTAACATGGGTGTGGGGCCTTGGTTGGTGCAGCCCTGCCTCACCCCACACATGTGTGACAGATGCCAGCTCGCGCCCGCCCGGGGGAGGCCTGGTGCAACTGCTATCATCCTCAGCCAGGATTTGGAATGTCCTTAGGAATGCACCCTCCCTTGCTCTTGGGACACTAAGGCCCCAGCCCGCCCCTCCCTGGGGCAGGTGATGCTCGGCTGCACTCAACTTCTTGGGATAGTTTTAGCCAAGAGCTTCTGTGGTGGAAGAGCCTAGAGCTTCAGAGAGTGAGCTGGGACACAGACAGCTTCCTGGGTGCCTTGCACTTTAGCAGTGTGGATTATTGTCACTAGTGTGACCAGCCCTGTCCCTTTCAGGGAGGGACTGCTGGGCACCATTCTGTGTTCTCAGTTATGGGTAGGATGGATCTTCAACCTGCCTGGGATCTTCCTAGAGGTCAAAGAGTCACCAGCTCCTGAGGCCCTGGTCCCCACCCCCACCTCTGATAACCCCCAAGGTATCTGTCCTTTCTAGTCCAGTTCAGTCCATTTGCTCTGTCAGGCAGGGCAGATAGGTACCACACCCTAGGATGTGATCCTGGGACAGTGCCCACGGCATATGGCCAGGGGCCGTTGTGGCCCAGTGCTGAGTCCAGAGCCTCACCCCAGATGAGGGTGGGCAAGAGACATGGAGCTGGGTTAACTGTCTGAAAAACCAATTTCCCTTTTGGAAGGCTCTTTCTCATAAGTTGGGATTTGGGATTGTTTTTTGTTTTTTTTTTTTATTTCATCGAGATAGCCCAGACTGGCCTCGAACTTTAGAGCCTCTTCTCCCATCCTCTCTGGTGCTGAGGTTATGTGGTGTGCCTCCACAGCCCTCTTAGGCTCATGTCATTTTAACCTATACAAAGTTCTGAGAAAATAAAAGGCTTCCTCGAAGTTGGCTCCCTTGTTTAAAAAAAAAAATTAAAGGGGGAAATGTGTACAGAAGGGAGTTTTATCCGCTTTACACTAGGGTCCTACAAAGTCTCCTGAGTGCCAGCCTCTCTCATTACCAGTGGTGTTTGGCTTAGAAAAGCCTTGGCCACTGCTGTGTAGACCCTGCAGCCAGCGTGCTGTTTCAGTGGCCTTTGCAGGTCATTTAGGAGCCAGCTAGGAAATCCTCAGGCAATACTTTTGTTCTTACTGAGCCCATTTTGCAGACTTGAAAATCAAAACCAAGAGGTGACACCAGTAACCATTGAGGACCCCAGGCTTCCAGGCCCCCAAAAGGGCAGCTCCTGACAAGTGTTTGGAGGACCTCTAATCACAGAGGTAAGTGGCAGTGCTGTAGACAGTTGACCCTCGGCAGATTGGTCTGTGTGGATGACTGGTTCCCACACAGACAAGCCCTTACTCTGGCTCCTGCTGTATCCAGGTCAAGTCAAACTCTACTCGCCTCAGTCTCTGGGTCACAGGCCAGTGGGATTCCCTGCCCAAGAGGGACACTTGTCCCTTCCAGTCATATCTCTCCTGCTAGCCAGAGCCAACCTTAGGATTGTGCTGCTCCAAGGGGACAGAAAATGCCAATGGCGAAGAAATAAATAGGACACTCTGGAAACTGTTGCTCAGGGCTTCCTAATGTTGCCTGGGTAGTAGGTAGGGCAGGGTGACGGGACAGGGGCAGGTCAGTGCTGAGGGGAAAGAAGCCGGAAAGGGACTTGGGGCACATGAGCTGCTGGGATTGGCAGGTGGAGTGGCTGAGGATAGCATATTGACAACGGCTGTCAGTTCTTTCCCGTGCTGGGCAGTGATCCCTGGGACTGTGGCTCAGGTTGAAGCTCCTTGCTGACATCCATTTGCACTGTGACCCAGCTTTTACCTTAGGACCCCCAAGACTGGGATTGTGGACCCCCCAAACTCAGAAACATGGAAATTGCAAATGTATATTGGAGAGTGCTATGAGGAGAGGTTTTGGAGTCAGCCTTGGCACCATGGGAAATGGGCTTGGCCAGGAGAAGGGGAAGCAGCCAGGCTTTACTTGGATCCTGGCTCTGAGGCATCTGTGTGGACAGCCGCTGAGCAGGAAGCCTACGGTCAGGGAGTGGCCTCTCCTTCCACCCCCCCCCCTCCTGCTTGTTCCTTATCATGCTGTCAGGGTCAGACATCCTGCAGGTCCCCAGCAGGCAGATCCCCGGGCCTCTGGATAGCCTATCCCCTTAACAAGAATGCAGAGCCAGGCAGGGCCATGGTCACATCCACAGCATCTGCTACAGTTTCAGGAAACTGTAACTGTCCCTGCACAAACCACACACAAATGCCCAGGCATCAGTAAGGTGCCTAGCCAGGATTCCTGTCCTAGTCTATGGGGCCTGTGGGACCAGCCACAGACCTGACCTTACTTGTACCCTGCCCAGGACTAGTAGTTATGACAAAGAAAGCAGAGTAGTCCCTGAGGCCCAGTCCAGCCACAGGCTGTTCCCATCAGAGAATAGCCAGCTGCCTGCCTGAGGCACATAGCCTCAGATAAGCCCATCCCCCACCCTCTCTGCAAACCTGTAAGGCAGCTATGCCACACTGAGGGGAGACTCCTGGTGAGCAGCCACAGCCATCCCTGCTCTCCCTGGGCGAGGATGCTAAGAAGAAACAGTACTGAGCACAGGGAAGCCTGTGTGCAGAAGACCCTCTGAGCGTCTCACCTCTTGCTTGCCTCTCTCTAGGCCCCAGTCTGCCACCCAGCATGTCCCAGAGACATTCTGACAGCTCATTGGATGAGAAACTCCTGGAATATCGTTTCCATGCCGAGCTGCAACTCGACGCCAATGGGAACCCAATGTCGGGGCTCCCCATGGTCCGGGGCTCCTTGAGAGCCAGGACCAATGCTGCCTTTGAGCCAGAGCCCTCCGAACCTCCACAGGTGCCACTGGAAGGTGAGGGGTCACGGCCCATTATCCTCAGCACGCAGAGCCCCGCTGCACTCAAGATGGGGACCCAGCAGCTCATCCCTAAGAGTTTGGCCGTGGCCAGCAAGGCCAAGACCAAGTCCCCAGCCCGCCATCAGAGCTTTGGGGCAGCCGTGCTCAGCAAGGAGGCAGCTCGGCGGGATCCCCGGCTCTTCTCGACCCCCAGTTTCTCCTTGGATGACATGGATGTGGATGCCAGCACTGCTGGGAATCTGAAGCGAAACATAAGGAACCAGTCCTACAGGGCAGCCATGAAGGGCCTGGGGCCACCCAGCAGCAAGGGGGACTCATGCCAGCTCGGCCCCAAGCTTCAGGCCCTCGCTGAGGAGGCTGCTCAGCCTCCAGCTCGGAGCCCAGCCAAAAATAAGGTAGGGGCCTGCCCTGACAGCAGGGGTGGGCAGCAGTGTCTCTAGAGGCTCAGGAGTTCACAGGCAAGGAAGCAGCCTGGTCCTGTGTCTCCTACATCTGCATCGTGCAGGGCAGCTGCTGGGAGCAGGCTCCTGGCCCTCCTAGTTTTTTTTTAATGCATTCAGATCTCATGCTCTGGCTGCAGGAGGTTGGGTCATGGTCTTGGGACTCTTGTGTGTCCCTACTTCTATCCAGAGTGGACAGCAGAGGGAATCAGTCACTCAAGCCCAAGCATGGAGCTAGCCTGTCTGATGACACTTGCAGCAGTGCCAGGCTCAGGCTTCCCAGTGGGACAAGGAGGGACAGCGTGTAGCACTCACCACCTGTCCCCCACTGCCCTGCTGCTTCCCTCCCTGCCCTGGGTGGGGAGAGCATTCTGGTGTAGCCCTTTGAGTCTCTAAGCATCTGTTACAGGCAGCCACTGAGCAGGAAGACCATGGTCAGGAGTGGTCTCTCCTACCCCCCCCCCATCCTGCTTGTTCCTTATGTTGTCAGGGGCAGATGGGGGAATCTCTGTGTCACAGCCATTCGAGGCAGTTGCTTCCCAGGACACAGGGCTGAGGAGCTTCTGGGCCTCTCTGCCATGTGCTTCCCTTAGACCCGTCCAGGGGTGCCCCATGCACAGAGCTTAGTCAGCTTCCATGAAGGGTCTAGGATGGGCCTTTGTGGCTATGTGACCCCTAACAGATCCCTGATACTTCTGAGCCTCAGTTTCCACATACATAAGTGAGGGTGGCCACCATCCAGCTGTATAGCACATCCCAAAAATGAGTACTTGCCCTTTGTGGCCTAGAGCTGTACACAGCATCATGGGAGAAGCGTGCTTACTTGGGCATCAGCTCATAGACCCTGAACCACAGTTTGGTTTTGGGAGAAGCAGACAACCCATCAGAATGAGAGCCACCAGCAGGCAGCTTGGTCAGGCCACAAGCTTCCATAAAGACCATTTGTGGCTAGGGCAAGGCCTCTGTGTCTACAGTGCCAGCCACTGTCTGTCATCAGTTCCCCTGATACATCTACCTGAGATGCCTGGACCCTTGAAGTGTGTCCCTGTACCTCACCTGGATCAGTGCCATCACTGCTGCCTAGCACCGGGCTGGCCAAGGGCTCATTCGTTTATTCCTCAGCAGTAGTAGTGATTCCCACCTTCAGCACACATTCCGAGTACCTGTTGTGTGTCCCATGCTGGGGTACTAAGAAGTGGCTGCTCCTGAGATCTCCTGTGCAGAGGGGGAACTGTGGGATGGCAAGGACTGGCACGTGACAGTGCAGGAGGCACTAGGAGCCTCGTAGATGACAAGGCCCCCCATGGTCTCAGGGCCAGAAGGGGAGACTGAGGAAGGAGGTGAGGGGGTGGGGTAGGTGAAAAGGAGCTAGGCCAGGTTCTGCTGGCAGTGTCGCACCTTCCCGACCTGTAAGGGGAGTTTTCAGGCCCCAACTGGTTCCCAGGAACCAGAAACAACTGGCCCCTGCTTTCCTGGAACCAGTGTACCTGTGAAAACCTGGTGTTCCAGCCAAGGAATGGGGACTGTGTGGGGGAGCCAGTATAGAGTGGGGATTCCTGCGAGCTCTGCCCTTGGATGCCTCTGCAACCCCTCCCTCAGTCTCTGGGGCCTTGAACCAGGACCAGGGCCAGACTCTAACCAGCAGCATGTTGCCCAGTCCAGACCCTGTCTTCATTCCCACCATGTCCCGCTCTCCAGGTAATGAACGCCTCCTAACTGGTTTAGCCCCTAGGCAGCCTTGCTGGGCCTGTCGTGGCCCCTGCCCTGAACCCCAACCTTTCCCTGTTCTGGCCTCCGCTTTGTGAAGCCCACATTGAATGAGCGACTTGTATGTGCCAGCAAAGCTCCTCCCCTCTCTCACCTGTCTCACTGTGGGAGAAATCTCTGGGCTGCCATAGTAATGGAAGGGGAGCTGGCCTACAGCTGCCTCCCCACTGACTGCTGAGGTGCTCTGTGTCTTGTCTGCAGAAAACTCTGGGACGGAAACGTGCACACAAGGGCTCCTTCAAAGATGGTAAGTGGCTCCCAGGACGCTGAGCCAGGAAGGGGTTTCGGTGGGTCTGAGAACATATGAGGTCAGGCTGGGCGGGACACTGGACACAGATCCCTGTTATTGATGCGACTGTGCATATCATAGAATTCCCTTGGACTCCCAGACAGTGTGACCCAAAGATAGGGACAGACCAGCCCCACACTATCTTCAGTATCCAATGGAACCCAGGTTGGATTATAGGGCATCAGGCCTCCAGAAAGGCAGGACACTCACCTCTCTTCTCTGCATGGAATCTTCCCCGTCTGTGGGTGGCCACAGTCTAGAACACAAGGATCCGAGCCTCTCTGCAAAGTCTCTGGGAAACAGTCCCTGTGTGCGGCAGCAACCGTGCCCATGCTCAGATGTAGGCTGACCCAGCAGCTGCATGGACTCAGAGATGCCCTAAACTGGGCTGGGAGTATTGTTGGCCCATGGGCAGCAGCCAGCATACTCAGGCCCCACCTGAGTACCCCAGCCTCCCTCTCCCAGACCAGGCACAGCTGGCCTCGTGCGGCTCTGGTTGGTCCGCTTGGCCCTGACCTGGAGTGCCACATTCCACACTGGGCTGCTGCCATCTCCCAGGCTGTCCTTGCATCACTGTAGGACCCAGTGGGCCACAGGGGAGCCTACATGTTTCTGAAAGCTTTGTGGGGCCCTTGGGAGGGCCAGGCAACCCCCAAACCCTCACGCAGACAGGTGGCTCTGCTCTCTCCAGACCCCCAGTTGTACCAGGAGATCCGAGAGCGGGGTCTAAATACCAGTCATGAGTCTGATGACGACATACTGGATGAGCCCTCCAGCCCAGAGGCAACTCAGAGAGCAGACACCACCATCGTGGTCAAGAGCTATCGGCCTGCCCAGCTCACCTGGAGCCAGCTCCCAGAGGTAAGGAGGCCCCGTGACCTTCCCTTCCCAGCTTGTGGTAGCCCAGGCCCTTTCAAGGAGCTCAAACTTAGCTTCCAGAGTCACTGAATACAGTTTGCCTGTGGAGAAGTGACTCTGTCTTCTGTCCTGATTTATGGCTGGAGGTCCTGATCGGTCTGACCTGGAGGTGCACTGTGAACACAAGGAGCCCCCTTCCTAGGGTCCTTATCTCCCCGTACTTCCCACATCTGAAAATGGCACCCTGTCCATGCCAAGAACTCAGTCAAAAGCAGGGCCAGAGTGGTGGCCCTGATACACAGGGGATGCAGCACCAGGGACCTGGTTGGCTGCTGTTAGAGGCATGTGCCACCTGTCCTTTGCAGGCTGTAGGTGTGGCAGGAAATGAGGGTGGTGGACCCAGGCATTCCCCCGTGAGAGTACCTACAGTGGGACCCTAGCCAGGGAGGGTCCAGCCAGGGGCTGCAGCAAGGCAGACTCTGTGCTTCACACATAGAAATGTCCAGAAGTACACTTTATTAATTACCCTGTTGGATGCTAGAAGCTGGGGACGGGGCCCAGCACACTGTACCCCATAGCAATGCCCGATATTTAGAGCCTGGCTTATTCACACTTGGATAGCCGGGCTCTTCTGCCCAGCCTGTGAGTAGGAGGCAGTTCTCTGTCCTGCAGAGGCCAGGCATGTGACGGTCCAGCCTGCCCTGACATGCTCTACTGCTATAGGCGTGGGGTGTGGGGAGAGCCACACTAAGACAGCCTGGAGCCATTGGCCCCAAGAGAGTGAAGAGTGCAGGTGATAACGGCCTGTGCCTTCCCTGGCAGGACTGTGACTCAGCTGCCCAGGTGGTACGTGAGTCATCGCACACACACACACACACACACACACACGCACGCACGCACGCACGCACGCACGCACGCACGCACGCACGCACGCACACAATACTCTCTCTCTCTCTTTCTCTCTCTCTCTGTTCCTCTGGACTCTATCTGTCTTCCTGGTCCACGGCTCTAGAGATGAACTGTCTCTGTGCTGGGAGGTTTCTATGGAGAGGAAGATAAGCTGAGGAGATGCAGGCAGCTGAAGGTCCCTGATGGAGGTGGCTGTCCTCCAGCCCTGGTCTGGCCGGAAGGAGGATGGAAGTGGGGAGGGACCAGACTCCATCTGTGGGACCTGTCACCCACAGCTCCTTGGCCTGTGCTCTCCACAGGTGCTGGAGTCAGGTGTCCTGGACACACTGTCGGTGGAGGAACGCAAGAGGCAGGAGGTAAGTCCCCTGGGAGTCCCCAGACATGGTGTGGGCCACACAGTACCCTGGGAGTTAAGAGACTAGAGCCACAGTGATAGCCTCTCCTCGGCTACCCTGATGACCACATCATGGGCCAGATACTATGATGGCTGAGGACTGAGCCCCCTTCATTGCCTTGTGCATCCTCAAGGGACATCAGGGAGGAGCCAGAATCCTGGCCTGGGATAAGGGGCATGGCTCAGCGGTAGAGTACTTGCCTTGCATGAGTTGGTACTGTGCCTACCATCTTCCCCAGAAAGCAGAGTCCCGGCCCCCTCCACACAGCCTGAGTTGGTGAGCTAGAACACATAGGGATATGGATTTGTAGCCTGTGCAGCAGTCACGACAGCCCTCGGAAGGGGCCCTCGCCTCAGTTTCCCCTCCCAGAGCATGCCCTGTCGTTCTGAGACACATCGTCTTCTCTGCAGGCCATCTTTGAGATCCTCACATCTGAGTTCTCCTATCTGCACAGCCTGAGCATCCTGGTGACCGAGTTCCTGCAGTCCAGGGAGCTACGGGCCACCATGACACAGACAGAGCACCACCACCTCTTCTCCAACATCTTGGACGTGCTGGCTGCCAGCCAGAAGTGAGCTCCCCGGGTCCCCAAGAATGCTACTTCACCTTGCCTCTAGGCAGCTTTCACTGCAAGGATATCAGCAAGCTGTGTGTGTGGATGGGAAGCTTGGAGCAGCCACTGACTTGAGATAGAGCATGGCAGCCTCTAGGAGCCCTTGGGAGCTGGCTGTGGGGACACTGTGGGCATCACAGACTCCCAGGGAAGAAGGGGGGGCACTTCTCAGGTACATCCCTGTCTTACCAATGGGTATCTCAGCACTGGGCAGTCAGCAGTGCCCACAGAGTACTCACCCAGCCAGGTGGCAGCCTCGAGTTGCAGCCCCAGGTCATATTCTACCCAGTAGTGTCTGGTGGCCTGGCTGGGCTCTAGTTGCAGGGCCTAGAATCTGAGCAGGGGCCAGGCATGCAATGCAGCTACAGGCTAGTGAGGGCATGTATGTATCTTGTGTGTGTGCCACTGCTTTCGTGAATGCATGTACTAGTAGTGCCTGTGCGTATGTGCTTTGTGCATGCCTGTGTGTGTCTTTTTGCATCCTACCAGTGGGTACCTCACCCCAGCACCGGGCATAGTGCCTGCTTGTATGTTTTTGCTCACACCTGTATATGTGCATATGTGCACAGCCCGTTTGTGTTGTGTGTGTGTGTTTGGGGGGTCTGCCCTTGCTGCTGTAGTCTAGGAGACCCCGGGTCTCCCTGTCTGTCCCTTTAGCCTTGGCTTCACTGTTTGATGAGGCTGGTGCCTGAGGCCCTCTCCTGAGTCTCAGTGGTGTCAGAGAATAGGTCACAGGGTGCTAGCTCACAAGCTGGGCCCTCCAAACATAGGGTGCTGGCCCCTGCATGTCAGGATCAGCCTGGCCCTTGCTAAGCCCACTCAGAGTCTGCTGCTATGGCTGTCCTCTCTACCTCAGGAAGTTTCCAAGCCATTTAGACAACTGAGGACTGTCATCTCCCTGGAGACAGGGGCTTCCTGTAAAGATTCAGTGGCTAGCTGTACAAACTACCCACTCATGACTCATCAGAGGAGGGGGAGGGGTCCCGGGAAGTGGGTGACCCTTATGCCTCCTTTGTGGTCCCCTGATGCTGTGCAGCCTCTAATTGCTCAGCTTGGCTATTGCTGCCCTGGTGTGGGACTCCCTAGCATCCTCCCTAGCCATTCATAGTGATCTCCTCTGAGAATTGTGCTATTTGGGGCCAGGAGCAGGAGGCTGGCCCTTCCAGACCTTTCCAGGAATCCCTAGGACTCATGCATTTCAGCTGAGTGGCCGTATCCAGGCAGCCTCAGCTTCCGCTCATCCATGGGGCCCATGCGCTTTTGAGCCTCTCAACTAGTTATACAGCTTTTCCCAAGGGCCAGTGACTCATTTGCTTATAGGAAATGAGGTCCATGTGGGTCTGTTAAATCCTAAGGGCCCATGCTCACACCCAAGCCTGGAAGGGTCTTCTCATATGGCAAGAGTTCTCCCAGCTGCCTAAGCCAGGGCCTAGAGATACGGACATAGCTCAGGACCAACCTCGTATGGTCCCACATACCAGGTGGCCAAGACCCAGAAATCTCTGGGCCAACCGTTGGTGTCATTTGCTGACTCTGTCATCATCTTACCTGGCTCATGGAAGGCTGGCGGTCTCACCAGGACTCTGCCAAGAGCCCAGGCCTCCCCATTTGTCCATTATGGGCTGGACTCCATGAAAGTGGATAGTTGTGGAGCCTTGTGGGGAGCTTGGCTGGCAGAACCACGATAGCTTAAAGGCCCATTCCTAAAGAGACACGGCTCTCTCTGGGCTTCTTAGGGCCCCAGTGCATCATAGGGTCACTACATCTCTGTCCTTGAATTCACACCCAGAGACAACATGTGTGCATGTCTGTGTAGATAGGTGTGTGCACACCCGGCCAAAACTGAGCCTTTGCCTCCCCAACCCCTCTCCACTCCAATGCTGCAGGTTCTTTGAAGCCTTGGAACAGCGGCACAAGGCGCAGGTGTGTGTGGAGGACATCAGTGACATCTTGGAGGAACACGCGGAGAAGCACTTCCACCCTTACGTTGCCTACTGCTCCAACGAGGTCTACCAGCAGCGCACCCTGCAGAAGCTGTCGTGAGTGGCCCCCTCGCGCTCCCGCCCACCTTGCGCAGGTCCCACCGTGCCACCTCTTTCCTGAAGTCAAGTGACAAGTTTCCCTGTTGCAGGAACAGCAACACAGCCTTCCGAGAAGCGCTCAGGGAGATCGAGAAACGGCCTGCGTGTGGGGGCCTGCCTATGATCTCCTTCTTGATCCTCCCCATGCAGAGGGTGACCCGGCTGCCGCTCCTGACAGATGTGAGGACCCAGGAGGCTTGGGTGCAGCCGTGGGAACCTCCCTGGAGGTTCTGCCTTCAGGGTTGCCTCTCTGACCTCTTCCTCCACACCCACACATCTGTAATTGGATAATTACAATGCATACAAGGCAGTGTGATTAATCTTGGTCACTTTGCGGTCCATAACATGATACCATAGCCTGTAGACACATACTTAGGCAAGTGCCCATACACCGTCAGCCCTGGAGCAGCAGACATTCTGCCTGCCATTCCCCAGGATGCAAAGGGCAGGATGTGTGGTGCCGGCTCCCTTTCCCTGGCTTGGCCCTAGAGGTGCAGAGGCCATTTGTAGGCTATCGACACTCCGGGGGGGGGGCAGTCAAGAGCCCTTGGGAGTCCTTCCTTGCCTTGAGGCTCCTCCCCAACTTCCCGAGACTGGTCCTGTTGGGGAGCCCCTGCCCCATGCAGGGCTCTCCAGAAGGGGCCTTACAGCTGCTGTCTTCCCCCAGACACTCTGCCTGAAGACACAGGGCCATCCCGAAAGGTACAAAGCTGCCAGCCGTGCCCTAAAGGCCATCAGCAAGGTGAGGCAACTTCTGTCCTGCCCCCACAGCTTATCTAAAAGGATTATCCATGCCAAACTTTTTGTGGTACTGATGGGGAAGGGGACTAGGTCCAGGGCGGTGCCACCGGGAAGGCGGGAGCTCTGTGGGCCATCCACAGTCCTGCATGCATGCACGCACGCACGCCTGTGATGTGTATACATGTTGAACTCACCCCTGCAGCTGGTGAAACAGTGCAACGAGGGGGCCCACAAAATGGAGCGCACAGAGCAGATGTACACACTGCACACGCAGCTGGATTTCAGTAAGGTCAACAAGGTAGGTGCCTTGCCAGCCCACCCACCCTACTCTCTTGTTCTCGTCGTTGTAGGAGCTTCTAGGGACATCTGCCTGGGGGATCCCCTGAGCTTCCCTGACTCAGGGGCATGGAGGTGTCATGGCCTCTCCAGGACTGCCCCACCCCCAGCTTAGGCAGACATTGGGCAAGTACCCAGAGGATGGGGGCTGGTCAAGGTTCTCCTGTAGGGTAGAACGGGGCCCAGGGCCTGGCCTGGCACCTGCGGGCCGGCTGAATGACCATTCCTATGGTTCAGGGATATCTGAATTGGTTCCCCACTCAGTCCTAGCAGGGACAGCCAGCTCAATTCCGAGAGGCGGGGATTGCCCCCACCTTGCTGCGTCCATCGCCTTTGTCTGTCCACTCTATCTCTAGTCCCTCCCCCTCATCTCTGCCTCACGCTGGCTGCTGAAGCGCGGGGAGCTCTTCCTCTTGGAGGAATCCAGTATCTTCCGGAAAATCGCCAGCCGACCCACATGCTACCTGTTCCTCTTCAACGACTTCCTGGTTGTCACCAAGAAGAAGAGGTAGGCACTAGGCTGCAGACGTCAGACTAGAGAGCAGCAGGGAGTGGCCCTGACCCCCTCTGACCTTGGCTGGCACTCAGTGCCACACCTCACTTGATCTGGGATGGCCACGGCGCTATACAGAGTCAGGTCTATGCTTTCTCCTCCCTGGCCACGGAAGCTGTCCCCAGGCCCAGGAGACAAGTCTTAGGAGCACTCTTGAGGTTAACTGGACCTAATGACTTCTGTGTCCCCACAGTGAGGAGAGCTACCTGGTCCAAGACTATGCACAGCTAGACCACGTACAGGTCAGGAAGCTGGAGGCCTCAGAGCCCTCCCTGCCAGGAGGCAGCGGCCGAAGTTCCTCCGTGCCCCACCCCTTCCAAGTGAACCTGCTACACAACAGTGAGGGCCGCCAGGAGCAGATTCTACTGTCCTCTGACTCTGCGTAAGATGGTGGACCCAGCATCTGTAGGAAGGGAACGGTGTGCAAGCAGGAGCCCAATGAGAATGGGGTGTGCTTGTGCCTGAGCGCCTACTGTATGCTGAGCACTGTCAGTGCCAGGCAGAGCCATAAGCAAAACACGGCCTGTCTCTGAGTATTTCTTTTCCTCGTGGGACTACACCAAACAATGAACGGCTATGCTGTCCAGTAACCAGGGAGGGGGCTTCAAGGGGAAGAAAGGATGAGTGTGTGGATGTGATTGATGGGCATTGAGGTAGGAGTGTCATGTTGCCAGACAACAGGACAATGTCAGGAGCTGAAGCACACAGTAGGGCATGTCAGCATAGTCAGTCAATCTGGGACCTAAAACTCAAGGACCCCAAGAAGGAAGGAAAGAGGGTCTCAACTATGCTCTCTGGCCTCCAGGAGTGACCGGGCCCGGTGGATCACAGCTCTCACCCACAAGGAGAGGGAATGGCAGGGCATCACCAACAAAGGAGGTGAGTGTAGGGTTGGGGTGTGCAGGGTTGCAGCCCTGAAGTGGAGATAGATGGTCTGTCCTAGCTCTCAGGCCACAGCACAGCTTCCCCAGGGGCTGGACCGTGGCCCCGGTATGTCCTTGTGACTATGTACATGGAGCCACCACTTAACCTTATTGGCCCTTCTGAAGAGGCCTGAGGCCCTGAAGCTGGGGAAAACAGTCCCCAGGAACAGAACAGGCTGGCCCATCAAAATGTCACCTCGGCCCTTAAGGGAGAGAAGTCCATCTGCAGGTGTCTGTCCTGCACCCCTGGAAGGCCAGTCTTCATCCCAGGGGCAGCTGTCTGTCTTGTGCTGGGACAGCTGGCACCGTGTGTGTGTGTGTGGGGGGGGGAATACTACCCTCCCAGAGCAACAGAGCTCTCCTGGCCTAGCCATCTCCGTTTCCCCCAGAACTGCCCCAAGTGGGGGGGGAATACTACCCTCCCAGAGCAACGGAGCTCTCCTGGCCTAGCCATCTCCGTTTCCCCCAGAACTGCCCCAAGTGGAGATCACCAAGGCATACTTCGCCAAGCAGGCTGACGAGATCACACTGCAGCAGGCTGACGTTGTCCTGGTCCTTCAGGAAGAGGACGGTGAGTGTGGATGGGCCACACCTGAGTGGGTGTCAACCAGACAAAGGTGCAGAGTGTCCTGGGGGTGCAGTGGCCAGCAATGAACTTCCCCAAAGCTTGGAGCCTAGGTGATGCCTCAGCTGGACCCGATTTTGAACTCAAGAGGCCAAGTGAAAGAAAGCTGGGTATTGGTGGCACTTGCTTGCATCATCCCATTGCCAGGGAAGCAAAGACACACGAATAAACCTTAAGGGCCCATTGAGCAGCCAGCCTAGCCTAGCCTAGCCTAATTGGCAAGCTCCATGCTGATGAGAGACTGTCTCAAAAGACAGAGAGTGGACAACACCTGAGGAACTTTGGCTGTCTTTGGGCCTCCATGCACACAGGTGCACATGTATGTCGATCCATCCATACATGCATAAACACACCACACTCAGTCTCCTCAAAGGGAGGACAGCAAATACTGGAGTCATGGGGCCATGGGTGTCTGCTCCCCTGGTGGTCCCAGCATAGGCCCAGGTCATGCTGGAGTAGTGGGAGCAGCCCCCGCTACCCCCAGTGATGGAGCTGCTGGGAGGCCAGGAGCCCATGTGGCCTTGAGTGATGCCCCCAGGCCTTAGAACCCTCAAGAGCAGAGGTGGGGGTGGAAAGGGGGACCCCTCTCATCTGCCCATGTGCATCCAGGCTGGCTACATGGTGAGAGGCTTCGGGATGGAGAAACTGGCTGGTTTCCTGAGAGCTTTGCTCGCTCTATCACCAGTCGCGTGGCGGTGGAAGGCAATGTACGCAGGATGGAGCGGCTACGGGTGGAGACAGATGTGTAGCTGGACAGTTCAGAAACCCACCATGGTGGACGCAGCTTCAGTCCTTCAAGCAGCAAGTGGTTCTGCCTGACTCCAAGGAGTACAAGGGGTTTGTCATGGGACACAGCTCTGTGCCTTGGGCCTTCCCACAGCCTCACGGTTGAGTGCAGAACACAGGACATGCACTGCTTCCTCGGAAGACTCTGAGCCGAGCTATAGGGGCCTACATTCTGGTAGGAGCCCAGCCTGGCCTCTCGCTGGCCACCCCTTTCCTAGTTCCTGGTCACCTGAGCTGCACCCAGGCTGAGAGTAATACAGGACTTCTGCCTTCACCGAAGACAACACAGGGCAACCTCCCAGATGGGCCTCTCTTTCCTAAGTGGGACAGGAAGGGCCTGTGTTTGTGGAAGGTGACTTGAGGTGCCAGCAGGGCTACTGTGATGGAGATTTTAAAGAACATTAAAGCATTTCTTTAAACCTTGGGTTTACACCTGAGCTTAGATCACAGCCGCTTTGTCGAAGTGAAATCCCAAGGTATAGCAGGTGCGTGGGGGACTGGCCTCATGTCTGTCCTTAGCTCTGACCCATCTGTCCACCAGCTACATTGTCACCACAAAACTGTGGCTCCCCGCCTGGGTGGTCAGGGATGGTAACAGCTGGACCTTGCAGGACTTAGCCTGGTTCTGAGAGCTCGGACACAGTAGAGACACTCTCAGGGACCTGCAGGCCAGAAAGGCAGCCTCCATATGGACTAGGGCAGGGCCAGTTCTCTCCAACAGCCCCTTCAGCTTGCTGCTGGAGCCCCATGACTTTCTCTGAATGGCTGGTGCTAGATTGGGGTGGAGCATACGCTGTGGAATCTGCCCCATTCCACTGGACTTAGCCTTGCTACAGAAGAGACAGACAAAGGTGAATCTACAACTAGGCACGAAAGCATGGTGATGCCCTCCCGCTCAGCCTTGCTACAGAAGAGACAAAGGTGAATCTACAACTAGGCACGAAAGCATGGTGATGCCCTCCCCCTCCCTGCGCTTGGGGAAGGGCTGTGGCTCTGGACTAGGGCCAGCTACTCCCTGTGGCTTCCATGACCCAATGCAGCCAAGTCTAGGCTCAGCCTGACGCCAGTCCTCAGCAGTGTGAATATTCACCCAGGTTTGTGAGTGACTGCATTGAGGGGAGGACCAGGGCCAGAGTGCAGGGAGTAGACACCGCCTGGGTTGACTCTCTGAGGTAGAGCCTAGTGCCTCCTTCAACCTGAAATAAACTGACGTCTCTGTCTTCCTCACCCTAATGCCCCGCTTTCTTGGAGATGCTGTGTGTGTGTGTGTGTGTGCGCGCGCGTGTGCGTGTGTAAAAGGGGGCAGCAAACTGGTGGCCATGCTGTGCTGTGTGTGTGCCTGTGGCGCATGCACTTGGTCTGAACTCACTGCCCGCCCCGTGGCCTCTGGCTTGTTCCCCCTGCTGATCCTCTGAGGAGCATGTCAAGGAGAAGCCGGCTTGCCTACCAGCTAGAACAAGGTGGGCTGGAAAGGTGTGAGGCTGACTCTGAACTCACTATCCCTAGACATCTGGCACAGGTGTCCTCGTAGTCTTCTTGGCTTAGTCTTCAAGTGATGAAAACCAAGGGACAAGGATACTGCAGGGCCTGGGGGAAGATGGACAGAGCTAGCAGATAATGGGCAACCAGCAGACCCCGCACACCAACAGGGGTCATCTGGTACAGGAAACCCCTAGACACCTGGCACAGGTGACCTCATAGTCTTCTTGGCTTAGTCTTCAAGTGATGAAAACCAAGGGACAAGGATAACTTTCTTGGAGATGCTGTGTGTGTGTGTGTGTGTGTGTGTGTGTGTCTGTGTGTGCTTGTGTAAAAGGGGGCAGCAAACTGGGGGCCATGCTGTGCTGTGTGTGTG